TATGTTGTATTGGATAGAATAATATAGATTTATTCTCTTTATCATGTAGGCGAAGAGCCTAATAATTGTACAAAAAAAGATCAACTATATTGATATTTGTAATATATCAATTATATACTTAATCAATAAAAAATTATATTTTTCGTCTACTTTATAATAGTTCATATTTTTGTCAACTTTAGTCCAATCGACTTTGTAAGTATTATTATGACCTGCAATTGTTTTCAGATGAGCTGATTTGTTAAACGATAATTGGTCACTTTTGAAGTTTCATTATCTTTTAACACAAGATATCTATCCTATGAGGTGCATTTGGTAAAGTTTCAAATATATGCTGGAAAAGTAGTAATAAGGATGTTGTTTTAATACATACAGTATACTCGTATCTTTAGAACCTCTGCAATTTTAATCTAATGCAGGATTATATATAATAACGTCAGATTTCATAATAATTGATATGTAATTATGTGTATTGAATTATATTTAACTCTTAATTATTACAATTATTGCATATCTTTTTTTTTTTTAAAAAAAAAAAAATATCTTTCAAATGTCCAAGTTGTACAAAAGAATTTTCTTGTAGAGCTTCGCTTCGAAATCATATGAAAGTTCATAATGATACTATTGAAAACATTTTATGGATGATAGCTGAAGAAAGAGAGAGAGAAATTCTAATAGAAAAAGAAAGTAGCCAACTTGGAAATAATAATAAAATAGAGATATATAGCTAGCTTGAAGACAATGATGAAAGTGAAATAGAAATAGATAGAGATGAAGTTAGAATAGAAATAGATAGAGACGATAAAGTTAGAATAGAAATAGATAGAGATAATAAAGGTGGAATAGATAGAGATGATGAAGGTGGAATAAAAAGTATACTTGGTGACAAACAAGAAGACTATCTTGAAGGTCAATCAGAAAGTGAGATAGAAGAAATAAGCAATCAAAGTCATAGTAAATAATAATTAAATAATAATTAAATAATAAGGCAATAAATATTTAAAGTATGCGAAGTTATATGAACAATAAAAAAAATATAAACAATGAATGATTGTTTGTGTAACATCACATGCATAACAAATAAACTTTATATTAAATATGACTATATTGGTATTGATATATAACTTATATATAAAATTTTAAAATTTAGGATCATATATTACTAGACGTAGAGCCATCTTTAAATTTTGAGTCTCTTGATATTACTAAGCTAGTTAATAGTGAGAAAATGAGCTTTCCAAGTGATGAATATAGTATCTTTATAAAGTTGCTCATAAAATGGAATCTATCGAATACATGTGCAAGTGAAATACTTAGATTTGCAAAAAAAATATCTAATGATAATAATATAATTTTACCAACTTCAGTAAAACAAGGCTATTGGTTTTTAAATCAAATAGCAATACTATATATTTCTTTTAAAAAAGTTTCTATTGTGATTTATAAAGAAGAAACATATTATCTTAACTATCGTTCAATCTTTAATGCTATAAAAGAATTGTTGAGCAATGAAGATATATTCAAACATTGCATCTTTAAATTTACACCATTATACTATAAAGGAAAAAGAATTTATCATAAACAATATAATAGGGAGTAGTAGAAACAGGTAAAAAAAACTATTTCAGACACAGTAAATATTTTATTAATAATTATTTACTCAGATGTAACAACATGCAACCACTTTGGAAAATCAAATGAACATCTTATTTATTTGACATTAGGAAACATACCAGGCTGGCAGTGTAATAAACCTGATTCAAAAGTCCTCTTGAGTTACCTTCCACTTATAAAAGCAACAACAATATCTCAAAAAAGATTAAACACTTTTATACTTGCTAAACGATCTGTATATCTTCATGCATTAGACATTATACTAGAACTGCTACTTGACTACAAAGAAAATGAGTTTGATCTTAAAACGGACTATAGCAACCTATGGTGCTACCCACTTATATCTATATTAATAGAAGATCTTCCGGAGTATTCATCATTGACATTTATATATAATTCAGTTAACTGTAAACATCCATGTTATAAATGTCTCATGTTAAAAGAGAAGATCAATAATATTAAGTTGAGTGATAGTCAAATAACATTAAGAAATTCAAACACAATGAAAAACATTATATATCAAGGACTTGCATACCAATATTCTTTATATAATATAGAAAACACACTCTGAAAATATCCGTAAGTGTTTATTTAATTCTAACAAATAGATTTAAAAGAGATTGAATAGCATTATTTGAATACTATTCAATAAACTATTAATAATCTACTATTCAACACTATCATATTTGTAAAATTATGAGATAATGTTAAATAGTAGGTTGTTAATAGTATATCAAATAGTATTCAAATAATACTATTTAATATACAGTATATTAATATATATTAATTTTTTTACCGGTAATATTTATTTATTTATTTATTTTAATATTTTATTAAGCCAACTAGATATTTACTCAGCCACTGTTCCAGATAAAATGTATCATTTGGACTTAGGGCTATTCAATTATCAAATAGTCTACATGAGAGAAATGCTGAAGGATTTTTGCGATTAGGCAGCAATTGATGAACTTGATCGACGTTTATCAAACATTCAAAGGTTCCTGAGATTAAAAATATTTAAGGAGGGTCTAAAAAATATTAAACAGTTTATAGCTGATGAGTATTGTAACATGATGAAAGTATTTCTATTTATTGTTAAGGGTTTAATTAAAAAGCATCACAAAGCTTCAATAGAAGAAATATTGCAAAGCATTATGATAATATATTAGTTAATATTTATTACTGATAGAATTAGGGTCCTATAACCTAGTGGTCTAGGCGCCTAATCCTCCACAGACAAGATTAACAGTTCGATTATAGCTAGTAGTAATTAATTTAATTAATTATCTCTATAACCTATGGGAGCTTTCGAATGTGAAACCCTGTAATGATAAGACTATGTGAAGTACTTATTTGGCCTATAAAGAATTCTTGGAAGGAGTCCCGAGCTGTAGAGAAGACTGGGCA